CTTTGAAACCATTTTATAGGGGAGGGGGAGAAGCGTGATCGGTCGGTAGTTCCTGATGTCAGTTGTATCCCCTTCTTTGTAGAGCAGTGTAGTAACCCCTTGATTGATTAGGCCCCCGAGCGACCCCTCTTGTACCACATGCACGTATCTGAGTATGCTTTTTTGGAAGATGTCCCAGTACCGAGTCCAGAATTCCTCGGGAATGAATCCAGACCTGGTTTTTTTTCGCCGTCCATGTCTCTTAGGGCCTCCAACAACTCATTTGTGGTTAGTGGCTCCTCCAGCTGTTCGTTTTGATTTGATGATAATATTGCTGCGAGATGTTGGAGCATTGTTTGCCAGGCTAGGGTCAACGGCTGCGCTCCCCAATGGCCGGATTCCGAGGTGTATGGTTTTGGTAGAACTGGGCCGCGTAATCTACTATAGTATATGCATTGGTTGCATCCGGCCTAGAATGGTCGAAAGGGTGACGTAGTGAGGGGATAGCCGCTTGCCTCGCTTTAGCCATGGCCTTTCTAAAAAAAACTTTGGCCATTGCACCCTCTGTGTCTTGTCGTCGCACTCTTGCCTGGATGCGCCATGCCTCTGCCTGCGTGTCAAGGTGGGACTGCAGTTGTTACCTGGCGGCCTGTAGTCTGTGATAGTTCATATCCTCAAGGGGGTCAGTCTGAAGTTTAGTGTCCCAATTCTCCAGCTCATTTAGCAGACTGTCTAAAATGGCTTTGCGCAGTCGTGCATAGTTGATGGAGTTTTTTTTAACTCTTCGCTCAATTGTGCTATGCCGTCATTGAACCAATCCACCATTAAGGCTGTTTGTTGTTGTGTTGATTCCCAATACTCCCAGAAATCATTGATCAGAGTTTTGAGGGTGGGAAGTTTGAGGAGCAAAGAGTTAAATTTGTAAAAACTGGGTCCTTTTTCTATAGGGTAGTGAAAGGACAGACCCATGACTATCCCTCGATGATCATAGGATCTGCAGGCACTAAAAGGCATACTATCTGTCACTGTAGAGCCCCCAGCAGTTCTTCAGAGATCAAGAAAAGATCTATTCGGGAATTGGATGTGCCTGCCGCACTTCTCGATCTCACGCAGGTGTATGCTCCTTTGATCGGGTGTAGCGTTCTGTAGGCGTCTGTCAAATGCAGAGTAGCCATGAGTTGTGCCAACATATCCACATCTGGGGCCCAGCGATCTCGGACCCTCTCTAACTGAGGCCGGGGACCTCACAATTCAACCCGGAGTTAGGGCCTCGCCGCACCACTTTTGAAACTGTGAGCTGTTTCAAGAGCTGCCAGACTTTTCAAGAACTAGGTTTCTAACTTTCTATACAATTTTTTTAAGAACCCTACCTCCGTCAGTATTGGGAAAATACTAAAATAGGGAAAACTGGCAGTTTTCCCAAACTCCTAAAACATCGGGGGCTAGCCCGACGACAGCCACCATTGATAAATCCCATCAGTGGCCGTCATTTCGTTTTGGATCGGAGGCCCACCCGAGGCCTCCCTATTTTCCCAACCGTCAAGTGTATTAATAGTTTAAGAGTTTTCCGCCCGCTGACACACTGCACTCCTGGAACAGCGACTGTTGTAAACGCAGGATGCTAAAAGACAACCAACGGGCCTAGCTCAGTCGGTTCAACCCACCTGCGTTCAAACTCCACTTGAAACAGATGAGTTTGGAAAAAAAAAAAAAAAAAAAAAAAAAAAAAAAACGTATCCTAAACGACAAACATATGGCTTCTCTTTTTTTTCTTGAGACGGGTGCATGACACCTCTTGAAAATCAATCATGCCTCAAGGGGTCAGCCAAGGATGCTTGAAAGCGCAATTGTTATAGGCTGGGATTTCGGGCTTTCAACAGGGACTCTTGAAACTGGCGCCGACTTTCACGTGGCTACGTAGCAATGCTGAAAAGAGTGGTCGTGAGAGGCCCTTAGGCTTTCTTCTCGTTCACCCCTACTTCAATTGACACACCACACAGACGCGGCAATTCTGGCACACTTCACTCCAATCAGGACGCGACCTCCACTGGTACCTAGCCCGCTCACATACACGGGTCTTAGGTTGCCCGGGGATTGACGGATGCCTCCACGGTAGATATAGATCGGTACAAGGCCTTCCCCCGTGCACGGACGGATTCAAACAGGCAACCCTGGCCTCAAGGGCCAAGTCTCTTAACCACTACAGTACTTGGACATGGTGTTCAACCGTGGAACGCTCGTCACATGCAGAAATACAAAACTAATGACATAGTGCTGTATTAGTGCATCTACTTTTTCCTTTTTTTACCGATGTGCTGTATCTTTCCATTTTGTTGGGAAGATTCCTTCTCGTTTTGCACGTTTACAGTGTACTTGGACATGGTGTTCAACAGTGGAACGATCATCACATGCAGAAAATACAAAACTAATGACAGTGGGTATATCTTTCCATTTCGTTGGGAAGATTCATCCTTGTTTTGCACATTTACAGTACTTGCGTACTTGGAGTCATCATTGCACGTCGCAACTTCGACCTTGGCATTCAGTCGTTGTCCCATCACCCTTTCGCCTGCCGACGCTCTCCCAGCCCTAGATCGCACAGCCCAGGCCTAATCACCGTCAACTGTGAGTGGATGAATAGTAAGGGTGCGTGAACTGGCGGTTTAATCTGACAGGGCATGACCATTGCCACCACTGTAGCCCCAGCAGCTATATCCTCTCCTGCATACTGAGAGAGTAAAGCTACACCTGCCTCATGGGCACTCGGTGTACTTATCATCACACAGAAGTGCCAACATGCACAAGACATGAAGCACATGTGGCAAGCCACACGTGAGCGCTCACACACTGCAAACGCAATTGAAGAAATCTGAGCACAGTTTACGCATGTTAAAAATAGTACAGACATGAGGTCCAAATGCACGAGCTGGGGAGAGACCCTATGCACATTTCGACCGGTCCCCAGTCTAGCATCATCAGGGGTCACAAAACGGACTATGTAGCCAGGATGAGGACTTCATCTGGTAGGACTCGTGCTGAGCCTAATAGAAGAAGAGGAATTCAGTTGACGAAAAGGAAAAAGAGGTGAGCCCTGATGAATACGTACCTTTCGCTATGCTGTCCTACTATCTTCAACCTCATCTGTAGCAAATACTAGCAATACATCAAGAAGATCATTGTATGAAAATCTTTTTAAGAGGAGACTTTACCCAAGAGTATGGCAATGCCACTCTCTAGGAGAGAGGGCAAAGTCCTTTCATGTTGTCTTTTGCACATCCCACTTGAAGGGTGTGCATGATACATGCAACTACCAGTAGTGGTACCAAGAGGGAGTTCTAGGGTAGAAGGGATGGAAAGGACTTCATTTCTAATCAAGAGCATTTGCTAGGAAGATCCATTGGACAATCTTCCTTAGTTCACTCATGTACTCTTTTGATCTTGATAAGTAATGGGGGAGGAGGAGATATGGGGGCGATGGTATGGTGGCGAGATGAGCGTGAGTCTTTTTCTTCTTCTTCTTGTGGATTTCACACTGCTCTCTCTTTCTTCTCGTCTGTTCTTCATCTTTCTGTTACGATTCATGGAACTGGTCCAGTGAACAACATGTCATTGCAGGGTCAATGCATCATGATCTGACCTAGGATCATAGAACTGGTATGTTGACCCTGCAACGGCATGTTGTTTCCTAAAACCTGAGTATTGCATCATGATCTGACCTAGGATCATAGAACTGGTCCAGGGAACAAAATGCCGTTGCAGGGTCAGCATGGGAGAAGGGTAGAAAGAGGTATCGCCAGACAGGGCAGGGGCATTCTAGGGTTTAGGGTTTGTCATGCAGTCCGACAGTGGTAGACTTAGAAGGATGCCATGGATCTGACTTTCTGGGAAATTCTGGCATTTCTATTTGTAAGGGCGAGGGGGACAGAAGGGAGGGACACTTCGAGGGGAGGGGGG